TAGCCAACACATCTGTTTGTTGAAATCACCAAAGCTCACGTTCGTTCGCGTAAGTAGGAACACAGCAGAATACCCAACAGTCTTCAGCAAAAAGGGAACCGCAAGCCATGATAACTTAACCCGAATCATTTTTGTCGGCTAAAGGAAAAGCGGCGTATTTCTTAGAAGGATATCCGATGTGAGGACATACTGCTATTGAAAAATGGGTAAGAGGATAACATTTACGAACACATAGAGATATACACTGCTAGACTGTCGCTAGCTGTGAAAGAAGGACAGCCAAGCAACAATGACTAAACAACGATGACTTCAGCAGATAGCCGACCTCGTCAAACCTTCTTCAGCCCACCTAAACAAACGGCTGTCTGCTTTCTTATTCTTGGTTTCACTGGCTCCGGAATCAATAATCTGAGGGTGCACACGAAGTAGATGTCTGCTGCCTGCTCAAAATCAGAAACCCCGAGTGGGGTGCCAAAGAAATAAACAGCTCGAGGGATCAACACGCACTGAAGTAGGTACCACAACAGCCTACGCGACTCTTCTGGTATACAGTGCTGCGACCGCTCTTTCGTAGCATGCGCCCTGTGTAATACTTACATGGGAACTAGTAAATAACCAGCTGGCTTACGGGTGACTTTACGAACATTTAGGCTGTCTCCTTGTACGCACCAACATTAGCTGCCGAACAGCGCGATAAGGCGGTCTTATACTCGCAGCTGCACGAATTAGCCGAAAGACTCCCTCCGCGGTAATCTGCTGATTGCCGCCAGGCCTGACTTGGCGCGGTGACCCTCCAAACAGCTCACATTTTAGCCACTTTGGACTTGGCTTTCGACACGACACAGGTAATAGAATGTTGAAATCTGACGATCAGATATGGCTAGTTGTCACCAACACGTGCTTCCAGGGTCGCCAGAAAGGTTTGCTGACCTGATATTCAGACGACGGTCATAGACCAGTCGAATCGACTAGATTCTGGACAGTTTGAGGTTCATCAACTGGGTTCACGATAGCAGATCAGTGTGTGGTGCCGACACAGGTAAGGTCTATGTTTTCGCACGCACACGCCTAAAAGTTAACCTGTCAGCCGCACCCAAATTGTCTCATGCAATATGTCCCGATGTCAAACCAACGACTAAAGGTTAGCACAGCTGTGACTGTCTCGTTTTGCAACTGAAGTCGAAGGTGAAAGTAGTAGCCAACGGTCAGAATTGAAGTTAGCCGTCTAGGAGGTGACAGAAAAAAATGCTCAGATTCACTCAGCGGTGCCGCAGCGACTGGAGCGGAGGAAGAACATTTTAGTTTTCTGTTAAGGTAGCTTACGCTATGTCCCATAACTAATAGAGGGGTTGGGCAGATTTGAACAATTCATTTAACCCAGTTGTAAAAAATTCGGCGGCCTCGGGAAATTGACCCAAGTGTGATTAAACTCGCAGCTCGTGTCTGCACACCGCTCCCTCGTGCTCGGTCATACGCGTCTGAAATCGCTTGCCCCTTTCCCCTACATAGTTCACTTCGCAGGAACTGCAGTTGATCCGGCACA